AAGGCCATTCTTCAAGGTTAGCTTATGGGCATTGCCATAAACCACACCGAGAAGGGGAAACAAGGAAAGCATCCCGACCAGTGAAGAAATGGCTGCAAATGTTAAAGAACAAGCAAGCAGGATTTGACTAGCACAGTGAGGATATAGGGGAGAGAACGTGCTGGCAGACGAGGACAAGCAAGGCTCACTAAACCAGTGCGTGTAGGCACATGAGCAAATGTGATGGTCAGAGGACTGCTTCAAGAAGGCAATATGAGGGCTGGAGAGATGGCTCAGCGGTGAAGAGCACTGACTGCTCCTCCAGAGGGTCTGAGTTCAACTCCCAGCAAACACATGGCAGCTCACAACTGTCTATAACTCCCGGATGCAACACCCGCACACAGACATACATGCAGGCAAAACACCAATGCACATAAAAATAAAAATAAAACAAAAAGAAGGTAGTCTGAGGCTGGGCACGGCGGTACACGCCTTTAATCCCAGCATTTTGCAGGCAGATGGATCTCTGTGAGTTCAAGGCCAGATACATAGTAAATTCCAAGTTGGCCAGGATTATACAGCAAGACCCTGTCTAAAAAGGAAAAGAAAGGAAATAAGTTAAAAAAAAAAGAAAAAGTAATTTAGTGTCAATATGCAGGTAAAACGGAGCTGGAAGGTCGGGTAAGGGAAGTTAGGAGTTTATAAGAAAATTGTGAGACAAGCATTGGAGACAGGAAACAAGGACATCATCCGGTTAGGATAGGACAACTGATGTGGCCTGGGGTGACTGGAGTGTGAAGGACACCACAGCTGAAAGTGGCTGAGGTTTCAAGCGTGGGTGGCTTAGACAATGGTGGGTGCTATTAACAGAAAGACAGAAGTCGGAGGCAGAAGTCGGCTGCAGTGGAAACATCGGAGCGAGGAGAGGGAACCAAGGGCTCTGGGAACTGAGCAGTCACCAGATTTGAAAAGGACAAACAAGCGTGGAAATATAAAACGAAAGATGGAGGTAAAGTTTTATAAATACAGGGCTGGGGAGATAGATCAGCAATTAGGAACTCTTGGTATTCTTCCAGATGACCCAGTTTGGTTCCAGTACCCATGTCAGACAGGTCTCAACTTCCTGCACCTCCAGCTCTGGTCGCTGTGGGCAGCCAGACAGAGGTGATGCCCTCACATAGATATACATGCATACATAGATATATATGCATACATGTTAATAAAAATAAATGGGGGCCCTCATTAGCTTCTTGTCAACTTGACACAAGTTGACAAGCTAAAGTTATCTAGGAAGAGGCAACTGAGAAACGGCTTCCATGACACTGATTGGCAGGCAAGTCTGTAGGGTGTTTTCTTGATTAATGGTTGATGTGGGAGGGCCCAGTCCATTATGGGTGATGCTTCCCCTGGGCAGGTGGTCCTGGGCTGTATAAAAATGTAGGCTGAGCAAGCCATAGAGAGCATCCTCCGTGCTCTCTGCTTCCGTTCCTGCCTCCAAGCTCCTGTCTTAGGTTCCTGACTTGGCTTCCTCTGATACTAGACTGTCAGCTGTAAGGGAAGCCTTTCCTCTCTAAGTCGCCTTTGGACTCTGTTTCCTCCTCTCTCCACTCATGCTGCAGGCTCCTGCACGCCGCTGGGCTAGTCTCCAGTGTATCCAGGCATTCACAACAGTGCCTTGTTTGTCTTTTACATTTATTCACCTCCCTAACCCTATTTTCACAAGTTGCCCAAACTTTTTCCCCAGATTTTTGTTTTTATTAATCCCAGTATGCAGCAGGCAGAGACATCTCAGTAAGTTCGAGACCAGCCTAGTCTACATGGTAATCTCCAGAATAGCCAGGGCTACATAATAGAGAGAACTTGTCTCAAAAAACAAAAACCAACACCAAAATTCCTGTACTCTAAGCACTGAACAAGACACTGATGGTACTTGCCCACAATACTAATACTCAGAAAGCATAGAGGCCATCCTCAGCCACACAGCAAAAAGGTTGACCTGGGCTACATGAGACCCTGCCTTAAAAAAAATCTTATTGTATTATAAACAGGACCTGCAGACTCAGGCCTGTCATTCTAGCTACTTCAGGGTGGCTGAGACAGGAAAGTCTGGGATACAAGGCTTGCTTGCGCTGCAGATTAAATTCAATTCCCTGGGTAACATAAATGAGATTTGTCTCAGAACAAAAATAAATAAATAGATAGATAGAAGGAAGGTTGGGGACCCACGAGAGGGATAGGGTGTTTGCCTAGCGTGTGTGAGATCCTGGGTTCAATCTCCAATATGTCAAAAAGAAAAGAAAAAGGACTGAAAGCACCTGGGTGCTGAGTGATGGATGCTCAGAGATTTTGAGGAAGTGGGTGGAGCACACAGTAAGCTGAGCTGCTGGGCACTCACTGAACTGATTGATCTGTGCTCTGCAAACACAGGAGGTGGGCGGTCTTCAGACCAGAAACAGGAACTCGGTGGGTGGGCCCCCAAAGGGAGTGTGAGCTTTGAAACAGAAGTCCTCTTCTGATAGTGGAAGACACAGCGCTGTGCTGCCCTTCCATCTGGAGCCATCCTGCCGATCTGTCACTAGTGCCCACCTGGTCAAGCCTGTGCTTTTTAGTTTTAATTATATGTGTGTGGGTCTGTGCAAGCGAGTGTGGATACCTGTGCAGAACAGAGGTGTTGGGTCTCTCTAGAGCTCGGGTTACAGGGGGTTGTGAGCAGCCTGAGGTGGGAGCTGGGAACCGAACTCAGGTCCCCTGGAAGAACAGCATGTCCCCTTAAACTCTGTGCCATCTCTCCAGCTGCAGGTCGGTTATTTATTCACTATCTCGTCTTGGATTCTCTTCTCACTTAGTTTATTTTGATTTAAGTGTGGCATTAATTTCCTTTTTTCCTTTTTTAGGTTTTTGAGATAGGATCTCACTCTGTAGTTCTGGCTGGTCCAGAACTTGCAATGTAGACCCGGCTAGTCTTGAACTCACAGACATTCACCTGCCTCTGTTTCCCAAGGACTGGGATTAAAGGTGAGTGTCACCACACCCAGTTTCTTTCCTTTTTAAAAAAAATTTGTGTGAATGCACGCGGGCCTGTGTGTGTGTGTGTGTGTGTGTGTGTGTGTGTGTGTGTGTAAGGTGTGTGTCAGTGGAGACCAGAAGAAGGCATCAGACCCCCTGAAACTGGAATCACAGGAAGTTACGAGCCTTCTGATGTGGGCGCTGAGAACTGAACCTGTGCCCTTTGCAGGAACAGTAAGCTCTCTTAACTGCAAAGTTATCTCTCTACCCTCTTGTTAGTTTCCTTTTTCTCTTAAAAATTACTTATTGTGTAAAAATTATTTATTGTGTATGTGTGTATAGTTTGTGTGTGTGTATGTGTGTGTGTAGAGTTAGAGGGCAACCGTGTGGAGCTGGTTCTCTCCTACCTTAGCCTTCTGAGTCATCTGGCCAGGCCACATTAGTTTTTCGTGCATGTGCTGTGCTTTCTATTTGCTTTGGCTCCAAGCCTGGCATCATGATGTTCAAGGCAGATGCCAAGCAATTGTTGGATATTGCATTTACCCCCCCTCCCCACACCTCCTCCTTCCCCGAGTTCTAATTGGTTACATATGCCCACAAATGATTCTATGATGGGTTTTGTTAACCTTGATTTCTGATGCTCTAATGTAAGCCATGTATGTGTTTCTATCTCTTCCATTACAGGCTGTTTCTTGAGGACACAGCTGTATCTATTATGCCACGACTGAATGCGCATCTAGGGCTTCACACAATGTCTGAGATGGATCGGGACTAGAGACTTCTTCAAATGACCTGTGATGATTAGCACGGTGTTAGAAAGGCCGTGGGACTTTAAACATTTATCATTATTATCGTGTGTGTGTGTGTAAAAAGTGTGTGTGTGAGAGTGAGAGTGTGTGTGAGCGCGCAGGTGTGCCACAGTGCCTGAGTAGAGGCCAGAGGACAATTTCCTGAGTCCATTTTCATTCTCCACTGTGGATTGCGGGGATTGAACTCAGACTCACAAGGCCTATGTGGCAAGCACTTTTACCCACTGACCTGTTTTTTTGAGCCCAGAAAGGAAGTAGGTTTTAAAGCAACATCACTTACGTCTAAAGTTTGTCAACTAAGGGGTTCTGACTGATTTCAGGAAGCGTTCTGCTACAGACTTTAAGTTTGTGGGCAGTGGTTGTAACTGCCACCCCAAAACTGACCTTTCCTGACAGAGATAAGATCTGAATTTTTGTTTCTAGCTATGCTATCAATGAGAACAGCACCTGGGCCCAGTGAAATGGCATGGTTAGTAAAGATTTTTGCTGCCAAACCCGAAACCCGAGTCTGAGCTCCAGGACCCACACGGCTGAGGGGCAGCGCTGACTTCCAGAAGTTGTCCTCCCCGCTCTGCAAATGTGCCGTGGCATTCATGCACCCCCCCCCCATGCACACAAAATAAAAAGATCTGCTATGCAAAAAAATGACATTTGTCTCACACTCAGGAGCCAGTGGCAGGGGGATCTCTGTGAGTTCGAGGGCAGCCTGGTCTACAGAACTAGTTCTAAGACAGCCAAGGCTACGTAGAGAAATCCTTTCTCAAAAACAAACAAACAAACAAACAAACAAATAGAATAGTGGGTAGGTTCTTTGGTACCACACTTGATCAGTTAGTTGGTCAGACTGTAACAGGCCGATGCCTGAAAAGCCATCTGGTAGAGTGTATTAATGTTTCCTTTGTGTTCATCTAACAAAAGTATTGTTAAATTTACTGTAAAATTCAAAGTGTTTCCAGTTTCCCCATCCTTTCCAGGGCTGCTGCAGGTCTGGGGTTAGGGAGGAGTGAATGGCTGTTTTTCTCTAGTTGTTACTCTTGCCCGGGCACAGGGCACTCACCAGCAAGCAGTGGCACAGAGCGTGGAAATGTTGCTGATTTGTCTCCAGCTCATCCCAGTCCAGCTTCCAGCAGCTTGTGGGTCTGAGGATGAAGGGGAGTCCGTAGGTCAGGGACTCACAGATCCCACTGGATTTTAGAGCCCTGGAAAAGAAAGCCTTCTTAGAGGTGCCAGGACCTCTAACCACACCCAGCTCCGATCTAGGACCGTCTTGGGGGAGCTGATGGATCAGGGTGTGTAATTTAGAATGTGCGGTCAGTAGCACAGAATCTGGCACACGGGAAGTTCTCAGAGCTCAACAGCCTTCGCCCGGGGCCCTATAGTGTGAGCTGGAGAGAGCAAAGTCGGGCTTTCCCATTGTTCTGCCTGAGAGTTGGATCCCCTGAAGCAGCACTTAGAGGAGTGGTAGGGTTGAAATAGACCTGGATATGTATGCTTTGTCCCTGAAAGGCCCATTCCCATACTAACCCCACGGCTTTTGGCAAGTCCACTGGGTGGCTGAACACCTTTGCATCAATCTTGCTTTTCTCTGCACACAGAGCCCATGTTTCCAATTCCTGCCTATATCTCCTAAGTCTTCTGTGGTAGCAGCTCTACATCTGCCCCTCTGGCTTCCACTTGCTGAGAGCCCAACCTTACTGGGTTTTTGTTTTGTTTTGTGACATGCTTGTAACTGCCTGACTGCCAAGAGAGACCCCGAATCTCTGCACTTCCAAGCCGTGGAATTCAGAAGAATAGAGTAGAACGGTGAGGCCTTTTCAGCATACTTGATCACTTGCAGCTTGCACGGAGAGTCTGGAGACAGGGAAGCCATCTGGTAGAGTGTGCTGATGTCTCCTTTGGGATCATCTGTCCTCAGTGTGCCGTCGGCTGTCCCAGGAAGCAGGGATGGGCTGAGAAATCGCTCGTGGAGGTCACATTTCAGGCACACTACAATCAAAGGAGCGTTAGAGAAGAGGCCGGGTTACAAGTTATCTCAGGCTGCCATTAAGAGGCAAGTTCACTTTCCCAAGGCAGGCCAGGGTTAGGAGGAGGCAGGGGGATGGGAAGAAGAAGCCACACTTGGTTGGAGGAGGAGAAGCAGATCTGCCCCGCGTTCCAGCTTTTGCTCCTCACTGTTTGCTTAGCCTCTGAGCTGGGCACGATCTTCCCTGGCTTTACAGCTGGGCTCACCGAGTGTTGGTCTCAGAGCAAGAGGTCTGGTTTGTCCTTCATTTCTGGAAGGATGTGTGTCCTTGCTAGAGCAGCTACACTTGTTAAGTCTCGAACCTGGGATAATCCGCAGAGGCCCTTGGGGAATCTTGCCTCTGCTTCCCTGCGGCTTTGGCAGGCTTGCGGGTCAGATTAAGGAAGAGCAGGAAAGCAGAACTCAGTCAGCTGACTGCTACTGTTTCTCTCTGGGCTCTTCTAGGGGGCGTTCAGGACTACAGGAGGAACAAGTTCCTGAAATAGCAGCTTATGTTTAATGTCTGGAAGGAACTGAGCATTGGACCTTCAAGGCCTCAGCGCACAGCGGTGGCATCAGACATCAGGAGTGCAGGGACTGGTACTGAGCTATACTATTCTCAGGGTCTGGCGCTCTATTAAGCCTTTGATTTCTATCTATCTTTCTTTCTTTCTTTTTAACTTTTTTTCTTTCTTTTTTAATAATTTATTTTTGTGTTCACTGGTGTTATGCCTGCGTGTGTGTCTGGGTGAGGGGGTCAGCAGCCCTGGAACTGGAGTTACAGACAGGTGTGAGCTGCCATGTGGGTGCTGGGAATTGAACTTGGGTCCTGTGGAAGAGCAGCCACTAGAGAACGGTGAGTCACTGTCCCTTTTGTTTAGAGTAGCCAAAATACCAGGTGGGTAAGTGGTAGAAGACAAGGGTAGAAGTTCTGGAGGTAGACAGACCTGTGTTTGATGAGCAAATTCCTGACAAGAATGGTGAAATGTACAAATAGAGATTTCTGGCCCCAAGATGAAGGGACCCTGGAATCGCTTTTCTATGAAGCCCGAGGAAAATGTTTAATTCTTTGTCTTACTTTCCTCATGTGTAAAAACAGGTATAGTATTATATTTGATTTGTAGGCAGATTTTTCATACACTAAGACAGATCTTTAGATCTTTATATCTGTCTTACAATTGCTATTGGCCAGGCGGACAATCTTAGGACTTGAATTCTCCCAGGAACGATAACATTATTCTATGTCCTGCTTAATTGACAGCGTTCCCATTCTTATTGGTATAAAAACAGTGGCATGTCTTATCATTGACAGCGTCTTAGATCTGGTGATATACTCAGTGACAGCATTTGCCTGGTGGTGCTGTGTAAAGCAGAAGGGGATTCGGCAAGAAAAGAAGTTAGTATGGCGGGAGAAAGGCACACAAATGTTAGACACAAGCTGGCTTCTGTGTATAGTTGCCGGCTGCTTTTAATTGAGTGAAGTGAATGAGTGAATTCCAGAGGATGGGGTAGGGAGGGATTGGTAGGAGCAGCTTGGGACACAATTCGAAGGAGGCCCTGGGAAGACATTTTACAGGCAAAGGAAAGACAGATTATGATATCATCAAGTTAAGCCATCCAAGGTATTTCAGGCCCTAGGTGCTGTAAAAGAAAAATTCCTTATTTAGTGTGTATTTGAGAGAGTGTGTGTGTATGTATGTCTGTATGTATTGCATGGAACATATGTGTAGGCCAAAGAACAATCTGGGACCTGGGATTGAACTCCAGTTGTCAGGCTTAGTGGCAAGTGCCTTTATCCACTGAGCCATCTTGCTGGTCCCAAGCCCTAGGTTTAAATGGAGAAAGAAGCAGAATCTGATAGCTGTCCCTGGGAAGAGGGGAAGCATCCTTCCTATTTAATTATACCTTCAGAGGGCTTTTCCCCATTCTGAAAGAGCAATAGTCATGGCAGAGTTCTATTACCACAGGAGAAGAGATTTCAAACAGACTGCTAACTGGGATTGGAGAGATGGCTCAGCAGTGCAAAGATGGAAGAAGGTGTCAGATGCCCTGGAACTGGATTTACAGGAGCTTGTGAGCTGCCACGTGGGTGCTGGGAACTGATTCTATGTCCTCCACAAAAGTAGCCAGTGCCCTTAGCCACTGAGCTGTCTCCCCAGACCCCTGAGAAGATTTTTATTTGCTGTTATTATTTTTACCAAGGCAGTGTTGATATTATCAAGGTAAAAGTCTCTTGGATTATAGTACCAACAATACCTACCACATTGAGAGCGAGAATATTGAGGACAGTGCACGATTCAGTATATCCTGCTATGGTGCAGCAAATATCTTATCACTGAGGCATCAAGGACTTTGCCTCTATAACCACTTGGCTCTCGCTGGCTGGAACGGTCACCATTTAGAGCCTTTCTCTTTAAAGCCAAGCTGTCACTAGACAGTGTCACCCAGTCCTCCTCCAACCCATAGACCTCAAATGATTTGTATTGTGGTGACTCCCCAGAGTCATCTAGATTTGTAATCTTAGACAAGGAGAGACTTCGCCTACAGAACCTATCTTTTCAGGGTTGTGTACTTGGATTATCCTTGGCTGTGGAAGAAGGAGGAAGGCTCTGTGGAGCAAGAAGAAGATGGATGTGTTCTCGGTCGGTTTCACTGTTATGCAGCCAGGCTTTGAAGAAGACCTCCATGCTAACGACATCGTTGTCAAGAGTCTGAAGGACAATGTCAGCTTCCAGGAGAGCACTCTCTGCAGAAGGAGGAAGGAGAATGGTGTTTAAGGGGGTTTCTTTGTGTGTGTGTGTGTGTGTGTGTGTGTGTGTGTGTGTGTGTGTGTGTGTGTGTATGGGCGAGGCTGGGAAGATGACTGACTGTAAGAACATTTTCTGCTCTTGCAGAGGACCTGCGTTCAATCCCTGGCACCTATGCCAGGTGGCACACAGCGCCTGCAATTCCAGCTTCTGGAATCTGATGCTCTCTCTTCTAAACTCCCAGCACCTGTACTCACACAATTCAAAATAAAAATAAGTCTTTATAATTATTTTAAAAACAGATTTATTTTAATTGGGGCTGGAGAGATGGCTCAGCTGTTGAGAGCACTGTGCTTATGGAGGATCCGGGTTTGATTCCCAGCACCCACATGGTGCCTCAAAACTGTCTGTAACTCAAGTCCCAGGGGATCCAACACCCTCTTTGAACCTCAGCAGGCACCAGACATGCATGTAGTGCATACATATGCATGCAGGCAAAATGCTCATACATGTAAAATAATAAAATAAATCTTGAAAAGGATAAAAATCGTTGTGTTTGGGTGTTTTGTCTGCATAAAAGTTTGTGCACCACAAATGTGCCTGATACCCACAGAGGGCAGAAGAGGGTATCAGATACCTCAGAACTGGAGGCATAGATGGCAGAAGATCGGATGCCTTAGAACTGGAGGTAAAGATGGCAGAAGAGGGAATTGGACACTTCGGAGCTGGAGGTATAGACGGCAGAAGAGGGTATCGGATGCCCTGGAGCTGGAGGTATAGACAGAAGAGGGTATCGGATGCCCTGGAACTGGACTAGACAGCTGCTGTGAGCTATCTTGAGGGTGCTTGGAACTGAATTTAGCAGAGTACTCTTAACTGCTGCGTCATTTCTCTACCCACTTATTTTTATTTTTTAATTCTGTGTCTCTCTGTGTGTGTGTGTGTGTGTGTGTGTGTGTGTGTGTCTGCATGTAGGTATGTACATGTAAATGCAGGTGTCTGTAGCGGTCAGAAGAGGGTGTCAGATTCCCCTGAGCTGGAGTTACAGATGGCTATGAGCTACCTGTGTGCCAGGAACCTCTGAGAGCACAGCACATACTGAACCATTTCTCCAGCCCAAGTGTTCAACTATTACTGTTGTTATTATTATTATTTTGAGACAGGGTATCCCTGGCTTTCCTGGATCTCACTACATAGATCAGGATGTTTTTGAACTCACAGAGATCCGCCTGCCTCTGCTTCTCAAGTGCTGGGATTAAAAGCATGCACCACTACCCCCAGCTAAGTGTTTAATTTTTAACTAAACATTTTTTCCCAAGATAGAGTCCTGCTATGCTTCTCTGGCTGGCCCAGCACTCACTGTGTAGGGCAGGCCTTGAACCTGCTACAAGCCTCCTACCTTTGTTTCCCAGTTGCTGGGATTACAAACACAAACCGTTACACACATCTAAGTTTGTAATTATAAATTTTGAAAAGTATGAACTTTAAGTATACCTGTCTTCTGACACATCAATTGTATGTCTCGACATCTGTCCTAGTCACATTCTTGAAGCATACACAAGAAACATATATAAAGACATTAGGCACAACATTAGGCACAAACTCCAAACAGGAAGCAAATCTAATGTCTATCAATAGAGGAGTGTTTAAACAAATTACAACATTACAACACACTCAAACTGGTGTGTACTATGTAACTGTTAGCAATTTAAAGATAAATATACCAATATGGGATCTAGAAGGGAGTAATGGAGGAAGTTGTAGGGCAGATATGATCCCATTTGTATAAACATAAAACTACCTGTATAAGTGCATACATGCGTATGTAAAAGTACTTTATAAAAGTCTGGAAGGCTGCCATCCAACTGTTAGTTCTGAGACACATTCCCTTTTCATTCACATGCCTTTATTCTCTATACTTTATCTTTTTTTGTGGGGTGGGGAGTTAAGACAGGGTTTCTCTGTAGCTTGTCCTAGAACTAGCTCTTGTAGACCAGGCTGGCCTCAAATTCACAGAGATCCACCTGTCTCTGCCTCCTGAGGGCTGAGATTAAAGGTGTGTGCCACCACTGTCTGGCTTCTACATTTAATCTAATTGTGTATTTCTGTTATAAAATATCCCAAGGGTCTGCAGAGATGACTCAACAGTTAAGAACGCTTGTTGTTTTTGCAAAGAACCAGAGTCCAGTTCCAGCACTCACACTGGGCAACTCGCAAACACCTGAAAGTTTAGCTCTAAGGTATCCAATGTCCTCTTCTGGCATCCATGGGCACTTGCACAAACATGGCATGCGTACACACATACACACACACACCAAATAAATAAAATATATCTTTTTAAAAAACACTAAAAATATTAAAGCGATGAAAAATTAAATTAACCTGCATAACAATGCAGGTTTAGTTATTAGCAAGGGACTAATTATGTGTTGTCATTTATATATTTAGTTATTACCTCTTAAGATGAATCTAAAAGGAAAAGGATGAACCGCTGTATTGGGCTTTACCTATGATACAGATCACAGAGTTAGCTGTTGACAAACTGTCTCACAAGTGTGTTTGGCATGAAGAGAGGGGACTGTCTGGTGTGATGAGTGACTCTGGCTAGGTGGGTTGACAGGCTTTCCTGGGTACTTCTGACTTCAGCCAGATCCACCTCTGGTGCTGGGATCTGCTTCTATGGATAACTGTTGTCAGGGAAAGTCCAACAGAAAAATCTGCGGGAAGAGTTGAGGAGAAACCCTGAGGGGCTTGCTGAGATACAAAGGGCCTAAGAAAAGCCAGTGGCTCAAATGAATTAACTTCTGTGTATGAGTCATGAATGCCGGGTGGTTTATTTCTAGAGCGACATTCCTGAGGACAAGTTGGTAGAGGTGGCAGACTCCCCGCCAAGAGAACAAAGAAGGTTCAGTCCAAGGTGCTGGCTCCACACAGGCAGCACAAGGCGTTAGATGACTTCACATCTCGTTCAAGGACAGGGAGAGCAAGTACAGCTTTTTCTTTTTTCTGGTCAGCATGATTAACTCTGCTAAATAGCTCTGCAGATTCATTCACTACTAGCTCTTTCATTCACTCCATCGGGAGCACACAGCTCTCTGTCCCCCATGGAATTTTAAAAGCTGCATTAGTCTTGAGCTTTCGTTCTAAATTTCCCATCGGTACCATTGTGTTTTATAGTACTATGATAATAAGAACAACGATATTGCCAAAGAAACATTTAAAGAATAACGTGGTGATGGCATAGGCAAACAACGGATAGTCTACCTTGAGTAACACGCTTGGGGATGAGTGAGTGGCTTTCCCTTAGTGAGGCCAAAGAGCTATTCAAACTACGGAGACAAGTACAGGGACAAAGAAATGGAATTGATGGGGCTGGAGAGGTGGCTCAGTGGTTAAGAGCACTGGTTGCTTTTCTAGGAGATCTGGGTTCAAATCTCAGCCCCCACACTTTGGCTGATAACTGCCTGCAACTCCAGTTTCCAGGGGATCCAACTGGCTACCCTATGGCTCCCCCAGGCAGCATGTGAGGCACATACATACAAAGCATCCATAAACATAAAGTAAAAATAAATAAATTTTTAAAAAAGAGAGGCTCAGAGAAGTGAGGATAACAGGTAGAAGATCAGAAACTCCTACAATGGGAATCAGGGGAGACAAGACATCATTGTCTATATTAATAACCTAGAAACAACAACAACAACAATAAGAAGGGTTTTTTAAAAGTAATTAAAACTATAAATTTAACATAGAATGCTGAAGCCACAGAAAAACAGTTCCTTTAAGAAAAAAGGAATGGGACTGGAGAGATGGCTCAGTGGTTAAAAGCACTCAGTTCTCTTCCAGAGGTCCTGAGTTCAATTCCCAGCAACCATATAGTGGCTCACAACCATCTACAATGAGATCTGGTGTCCTCTTCTGGCCTGCAGTCATATTTGGAGGCAGAACACTGTGTACATAATAAATAAAATATTTAAAAAAGAAAAGAAAAAAAGGAATGAAGTTGGATGTGTTGGTTCATGGTTTACCCAGTACACAGGATGCAGAGGTAGGTGGATCTCTAGAAGTTTGAAGCCATCCTGTTTTACACAGAGACTTCCAGGTCAGGCAGAGAAACACAGTGAAACCATATCTTAAAAAAAAAAAGGAGAGATGTTTTCTTTAACAGCAAATATGCTAAGACTAGAACCAAACAAAAGACAAGCATGATCCCCTGCACAAGGATGATGTGCAAATTGTGAGACTTTGCAGTAGCTCTATTGTTGGTCTTGCAGCTTGGAGGATGGATATAGACACTGGAGGAAGCGAAGACTCACCAGAAATGGAACACAGATAAAGCAGCAAGGCATGTGGGGACCTTCTCTAAGCGTGGCTCCTACATTTGTCCCAGTGGCAGAGATGTGGGAGTCACCTCTGTTCTTGTGAATTATGGCAGCTACATTTTTTTTTCTCTAAAATATCCTAGCTTTTCCATTAGTTCTGAACTTGGGAAGCTAAATGTCTGAGAAGGTGCTGGCAAAAGACACTCAGAATGACCAGTCCTTGAACATGGCACCTCTACAATGGAAAATGCCATGTCATCTAAATGAGCCGAGCAGTCAGTCTTCCCCAGAGTGTGCACTGTTTGTGTTTCTAACTTTTAAAAAATTTAATTAATTATTTTTATGAGAATAAGTATTTTGTCTGCATGCATACCTGGGCCAAGTATGTGGAGTATCCACAGAGGCCAAAAAATGGCAATGGGTCCCCTGGAGCTTGATTTTCAGATGGTTGTGAGGCACCTTGTGGGTGATGGGAATTACTGGGAATCAAACCTGAGTCCTATGGAAGAGTAGCCAGTGTTTGTAACTGCTGAGCCATCTCTCCAACCCCATTTTTTCTTTCTCCCTTTCTCTCGTTCTTTCTCTCTCTTTCACTTTCTTTTCTTTTTTTCTTTTCTTTCTTTCTTTCTTTCTTTCTTTTCTTTCTTTCTTTCTTTCTTTCTTTTTTTTTTTTTTTGAGATAAGGTTTCTCTGTGTAACGGTCCTGGCATCCTGGAACTCACTCTGTAGACCAGTCTGTCCTCAAACTCACTGAGAACCACCTGCCTCTACCTCCCAAGTGCTGGGATTAAAGGTGTGCGTCACCAGTGCCCAGCTCTACACCCCATTTCTAATTTCTTAACCTATACATTCGGAGACTAGCAACAGCAGAACGTATCCTTTGAAGGAATTCTCATGTTGTCTCCACAGCGGTGCTGCGCTTCAGGTTTGAGTCTTCATTTCACTGCCTCAGGAGGAGTGGCATCCTTTCAGGGACAAGAAACAGATGGTTCCTCTGATGATGGCCGTTCTTCCAGAGGATTCAGGGTTGATTCTATTGTAACCTACTCATCTTGGAGCGCTTAGTATGGCCCCTCACTCCTCAGGGATCCCACACTCCTCTTCCTCTGTGATGGCCCAGGCTGTTCCTCCTCATTGCCACCTGT